GGGAGTCTCCTTTTCCTTCTGCCCCCGCCCCCATCCTCTCTCTCATGCTCTCTCTCTCAAATTAAAGAAAACAAAAACCCATTAGAGGCCAGGAGAGTGGGACCCTCTTGATGGGATCAGTGCCCTTATAAAACAGTCCCTAGATAGCTCCTATTCCTCGTATGAGGTTACAGAGAGGAGATGACCATCTATGAGGAAGAGGGCCCTCCCTGACACCACATCTGCCAGCACCTTGACCTTGAACTTCCCAGCCTCTGGAAGTGTAATAAATGCCTGATGCTGGGGCGCCTAGGTGGCTCAGTCGTTGGGCATCTGCCTTCAGCTCAGATCATGATCCTGGGGTCCTGGGATCAAGCCCCACATCGGGCTCCCTGCTCCGTGGGGAGCCTGCTTTTCCCTCTCCCACTCCCTCTGCTGTGTTCCCTCTGTCGCTGTCTCTCTGTGTCAAATAAATTAATAAAATCTTAAAAAAAAATACCTGATGCTTAAGCCACTCTGCATATGTATTTTGTTATAGGAGCCAAGGCTAACTGAGACGGATGAGGGAAAGGTTCTAGAGTTGGATGATGGTGATGGTTGCAGAATGAAGTGAATGTGAATGCGCCTAATGCCACTGAACTGTACCCATAAAAATTATCTAAATGGGGGTATCTGGCTGGCTTGGTCGGTAGAGCATGAGACTCTTGATCTCAGGGTTGTGGGTTCGAGCCCCGTACTCGGTGTAGAGATTACTTAAAAATAAAACCTTTAGCTGGTTAAGCATCTGCCTTCCTTTGGGGTCATGATCCCAGGGTCCTGGGACCAAGCCCCTTGATGCACTCCCTGCTCAGCGGGGAGCCTGTTTCTCCCTCTCCCTCCCACTCTGCCTACTGTGCTTTCTCAATCTATCAAATAAATAAATAAAATCTTTAAAAAAAAATCTTTAGGGCATCTGGGTGACTCAGTTGGTTAAGCATCCATTCAGCTCTTGATTTCAGCTCAGGTCATGATCTCAGGGTCCTGGGATCAAGCCCCGCATCGGGCTCTCTCTGCTCAGCAGGGAGCCTGCTTCCTCCTCTCTCTCTGCCTGCCTCTCTGCCTGCTTGTGATCTCTCTCTTTCAAATAAATAAATAAAATCTTAAAAAAAAAATAAAAATGATTTAAGTGACCAATCCTATGCTATATGGATTTGCTGCAATGATAAAAAACCTGCTCATTTCAGCAGTACATATACTAAAATTGAGACAATTCAGAGAAGATTAGAATGGTCCCTGCGCAAAGATGACATGCTTGGGAGCCTAAGTGGCTCAGTTGGTTGAGCGACTGCCTTCAGCTCAGGTCATGGTCCTGGAGTCGCAGGATTGGATCCCACATCAGGCTCCCTGCTTGGTGGGGAGTCTGCTTCTCCCTCTGACTCTCTCCCCTCTCAAGATCTCTCTCTCTCAGATAAATACTCTTTTTAAAAAAGATTTTATTTATGGAGCGCCTGGGTGGCTCAGTGGGTTGAGCCTCTGCTTTCAGCTCCGGTCATGGTCTCGGGGTCCTGGGATCGAGCCCCGCGTTGGGCTCTCTGCTCGGTGGGGAGCCTGCCTCCCTCCCACCCCCCGCCTGCCTCTCTGCCTACTTGTGATCTCTGTCTGTCAAATAAATAAATAAAATCTTTTTTTTTAAGATTTTATTTATTTATTTGACAGACAGAGATCACAAGTAGGCAGAGAGGCAGGCAGAGAGACAGGAGGAAGCAGGTTCCTCGCTGAGCAGAGCCCAATCTGGGGCTTGATACCAGGACCCTGGGATCATGACCTGAGCCGAAGGCAGAGGCTTTAACCCACTGAACCACCCAGACGCCCCAAATAAATAAATTCTTAAAAAAAAAAGATGACATGCTTGTGAAGTTCCATATTTCTTTATTTTTTATTTATAAATTTTTATTATTATTATTTTTGCGTGTGTGAGTAAAACGATATAAGTTTATTAAGTGAAGATACAGAAGAATCTCTCAAAGGTGAGAGGGGTCCCGGACAGAGTTGCCAGTGAGGGCCTTTAGGGTTGGTCTTTTATAGAAAGCTAACCAGGGAATTTAAATACTAACCACTAGAGACTGGAAGAGCCCTACTACAGGCAAAGTCCCTGAGGTGGGAGAAAGCCATTGAAGAAAAGCCAATGCACAGAAAGCAGAACTGGGTAGGTTTAGGCCAACATTCCCTTCTTTTGAGGAAGGGGGATTAGCCAAACTTTGGCCAGAAGCCTGTCACCTGAGACTTAAGCCTGGTGGCCACACTATTCACCTTTAATTGGCCAGCAGTTGCCCAGTTTTGCTGTTTCGGAGAAGAGGTCATCTAAGGGAGAGACGTCTCCCGGGAAAGAAAAGAGCCCACTTTTACTTATCCTTCGCTGGACGTAATCCCAGGTTTCTGCACCGAGATGAAGCGGGACAGCTAGGTTCTTGTCTCACAGAGTCGAAGAATGAATCTCTCAGACAACACAGAGTGAGTAAAGCAACAGAAGTTTATTAAGTGAAGATACAGAAAAGGCTATCAAGAGTGAGAAGGGTCCCAACAGGTTGCCCTATTTAAAAAAAATTTTTTAAGTTTTATTTTTACTTATTTGCGTGAGACCAAGAGAGAGCCCGCATAGCAGCAGAGGGAGAGGGAGAAGCAGGCTTCCTGCCAAGCCGGGAGCCCGATGTGGGGCTCGATCCCAGGACCCTGGGATCATGACCTGAGCCAAGGCAGACACTTAACCAAGCATCCCAGTACTACGTTAACTTTTCATTCAGACTTTCCTGAGGAACCTGAGGAAAACATATTCTGCAACTTTTACCACTCTCCTGTTGACGAACAGTTGGGTTGTTTCTCCCTTTCTTTCTTTCTTTCTTTCTTTCTCTTTCTTTCTTTCTTATTTATTTGACAGACAGAGATCATAAGTAGGCAGAGGCGGGTGGAGAGAGAGGGGGAAGCAGGCTCCCCACTGAGCAGGGAGCCCGATGCAGGGCTCGATCCCAGGACCCTGAGATCACGACCTGAGCCAAAGGCAGAGGCTCAACCCACTGAGCCACCCAGGCGCCCCTCATTGGAAGTTCTGAATCGATCTTCCCGATGGATGGACCGCCCACCAGAGATGTCAGGGGCGCCGGGGCTGGGATGAACTACCCTATCGTAATCTCACCTTTGTTTATTTCTTCAACAATGTTTTGACCCCTAGAGGGACAAGCCCCAATGCTGAATGCTGGGGAAACAGAGGGAAATAAGAGTGTGTGTGGGGGGGAACAAGTCATGTAAATCCCATTTTTTTGAGACTGCATATAATGCAGCGCGGGCTGACATCCTCGCTCATGCCTCCTGGGGGCCCTCGTGGCTAATTTTCTAGAATGTTCCTAGAACTGGAACTGTTGGATTCTAGGTTGCACACTCCTTCTGCTTTACTATATACATGGCCCACTTAATTTCCAAAGTGCTGACTTACTTTCCCAGTTGATTTCTCCCCGGGCCCCTGCCCTCAGCTCACTGTACTGGGGTCACTAGGCCTTCTTTCAGTTCCTTTAGCTCATATGCTCCCCCATCACGAGACCTTCGCATCTGCTATTTTTTCTGCTGAGAACACTTCCTCTACTCTCAGCCTAGCTAAGACCTCTTCTTTCCGCAGCGCTCAGCTCTTCCCTCCTCAAGCCCAGCCCAGGTCAACCCCATCTTCTCCAGGCCCACATTATATACCCCAGAGCCTTGTGTCCCTCTCTTTTGTGATACACTTTGCAGTTGCAATGTTCCATCTGTCTGTGCAATGATCAACACAAAGTCAGTCAACTCTGCTAAGTTTCACCAGCCTGAAAGGGGTAGCCACCATGTTTGTTTTAAGCTTGTTGCCATATCTCCAGCACCCAACACTGTGCCTGGCACCTAGTAGGCCACGGGCATTATGAATCTAGTAGCTGTTCTACGTTTTTACTCATATTTGAGTCCAGAATGTGATTTTTTTGAGCATGTCTCAGTCTATCTACTGCAGGCCAAAATCAGGACAATGTAAACACAATCTCTTCCTTGAGGAGCTCACAGAGGGAGGTCAATAAACATTTATCGAGCCTGCTAGACCCGGACATATGTGAGTGCTTAGCAATGGTTTAATTGACTTAGATGTCACCTCTAGTGTGAGTACTACTATAATGAGGAATGCTGATCATTGTTTATTGAGCATTTATTATGCGGCAGGCATTCTACTAAATGCTTTACCGTTACCATGTTATCCTACCTTCGCATCCTACCAGGGAGGCACTGTGATTACCTCCATTTTACAGGTGAGGAAACAGCCTTAGAAAAGTGAAGTCACTTCTTCCAGATCACACAGCTAGTAAATGGAGCCGACAGGATTTCCCAGCCAGAATGCCAACATCCTACCATGATGCTAAATTTCTCCCTCCCCAATTATACTGCTTTCAGTTGGACCCCCGAGACAGAGTACTTAATCACAATAATAAATTAGCAATAGCTACCCTATGATGGGGTACTTACTGAGCACCAGTCACTTTATATAATCCATTCATTTATTCAACAAATATTTACTAAGAATCTCGTGGGCCAAGCTCTAATTGACATGTGTGGGGTTACAGAGGTGGACAAAAGAGATTAAAATTGCTACTTTGTGGCGTTGTCATCCTAGTGGGAGGAGAAAACAACAAATAAAATGTGATAGATGGTGACCAGTGCTACAGAGAAAACGAAAGCAGAAAAGGGAACTACGGCGCGTAATGACTGGGGTTTCTGTGGTCTCATTTCATTCTCCCAAACATCTATTATTTTCCCACCGTAGAAATGATAATGAGATTCACTTGGTGAAGTCACTTACCCACAGCACACAAGCTCCCAGGCTGAGAAGTCGGGACTCTGGAAGGAGCATCCAACTTTCCAACCCTATAGGAGCATCCAACTTTTTGGGCAGGCGGGTAAGTTGACCCAGGCGAGTGAGGACTCCTAAAATTATGCTGACCGGTCCTTGCGATGCCCAGGGCAGACATTAAGCACAATTCGCGGGGGGAGACGCGGATGCAGAGGTTGATGTCAAGGTGCAGGCTGACGAATGGATTCCCGAGTTAGGGAGCATAAGTCTAAGGCACAGGAGGTTATTCTGGGGGTGCCTACCAGCCCCTGCCCCGCCCCCACAGCCCGCTCTGTGCCCCACCCCCTTCCGCTCCGGGTGTCGGGACTCCAGGCCCTTAAGCTGGGATAGCAAGTGGCAAGTGACCATGATATGTCGCCTCGCCCTGGGGAAGCCCAGCTCACGTGCAGATAGCGGCCTCCCAGACAAGGGGGTACGCGGCGAGCACGCAGGGTGCGCCTTCTCAGGCCTCAGCTGCGGGCGATGACAGCTGGCTCCCTCGGTTTCTGCCCAGCAGATCTCGTGGATCCGGGATGCAGTCTGGAAAAGAGTAGGGGAGAACCTGGGCTTTGGAGCTAGAAAGGTCGATTACCACCTCCCCGAGGAACAATTTCACATTGTTGCACTTTAAGAGGGCCTCTTAGAATCTTTGCAACTTTTTCAAAGAGGTACACTCTAAGATTTAATCAAGCTGAAAATACACTTATTTGGGAGTTTGAGGAATTCATTCCTTGGACAAATTCATTCATTCATTTGAGAGATTGAGTATTTTATGAGCCAGGCCGTAGGGGCTGAGGATAAGCAGTAAATAAGACCAAGGTCAATCACCTCAGGGACTTTTCCTTTTTTTTCTTAAAAAAATTAAAAAAAAAAAATCTCTAGGGGTGCCTGGGTGGTTCAGTGGGTTAAAGCCTCGGCCTTCAGTTTGGTTTGTGATCCCGGGGTCCTGGGATTGAGCCCCGCAATGGGCTCTCTGCTCAGCAGGGAGCCTGCTTCCCTTCCTCTCTCTCTACCTACCTGTGATCTCTGTCAAATAAATAAATAAAATCTTGAAAAAAAAAAATCTCTAAACCCAAAGTGGGGCTTGAACTCTCAACCCTGAGATTAAGAGTCCTGTGCTCTACGGACTGAGCTAGTCAGACGCCGCAGGGACTTTTCCTTTTTTTTTTTTTTTTCAAGATTTTATTTATTTATTTGACAGATCACAAGTAGGCAGAGAGGCAGGCAGAGAGAGAGAGGGAGAAGCAGGCTCCCTGCTGAGCAGAGAGCCCGATGCGGGGCTCGATCCCAGGACCCTGGGATCATGACCTGAGCCAAAGGCAGAGGCTTTAACCCACTGAGCCACCCAGGCGCCCCGGGACTTTTCCTTTTAAAGAGAGACCCAGACAATGGGCTGCTAACACTTTCGTATTTTATTATAATTGTGAGAAGTATTCTGAATGAGAGTTTTGCGCTAGGGTAAACTGGGCAAACTCACCTGCTCTCAGTTGCAAGGGTTGGTTTCAGATTTCTCTCCTTGGGCTGGGGTTAAGAGCCAACTGTCCATCCTAGCCTCGCCAGGGAGAAAGGCCTGCTCTCTGCCCTGAAAAGATGCTATGGGGTGAAGAGGAGGCTTTCCTACAAAGGGAGCGCTCTGTGTGTATCTGAGTGCTACTCAGTAAGCAAATGGTCAATTAATGAAGGTCATTTCAAGGAGGGCAAAAGCCACAGATTCCATCTGCAAAGGATGTTATAATGGCTAGCTAGGAAAAAAGAAAGATCTCAGTACTGTTACTCCTAGATCTCTGGAAGGGTGAGGAATTTGGGGACTAAGGGAGGCATAGTAGGGACTCAGGACTTTCATTAGAAAGGCACTTTTCTTTTCTTTTCTTTTTTTTAAAGATTTTATTTATTTGACAGAGATCACAAGTAGGCAGAGAGGCAGGCAGAGAGAGAGAGAGAGAGAGAGAGATTGAGAGGGAGGAGGAAGCAGGCTCCCTGCTGAGCAGAGAGCCTGATGTGGGGCTCAATCCCAGGACCCTGGGATCATGACCTGAGCTGAAGGCAGAGACTTTAACCCAATGAGCCACCCAGGTGCCCCTCTTTTCTTTTCTTTCCTTTTTTTTTTTTTTTTTTTTTTTTAAGTAGGCTCCACACCCAGTGTAGGGCTTGAACTTACCACCCAGAGATCAAGAGTCACAGGCTCTACTGACTGAGCCAGACAGGTATCCTTAGACATGTACTTTTAAATGGGGTGCAACCCCCCACACACACACACAAAGAAAAAAAAAAAACAGAAAAAAAAAACCCAGAAAAAAAAAAAAAAAAAAACACTGGGTGCTGGCACCGTGCTAGGTAGGAGATACATCCACGAGGCAGACAGGGTCCCTACACTCCCAGGACTCCCAGTCAGCCTAGAGCGTAGGCAGCAATAAGATAATATGATAAGCATTATGAGCAGATCAGGAAAAAGACATCAAAGCTGATTCCAAGAAGGTGAGAACTATGGAGAGGAGGGCAGGCAGGATTGACTGCTCCCAGTGGAAGGATCACCATATGCAAAGGTAGGGGGAGAGAAAGCAGGTTTATTCCAAGAACTCAAGAGTTGAGAGCAGTCAGACTTTGAAGGCTTGTTGGGGAGAGAACCGATGTTGGAGAGAAAAGCAGGGATATTCCATCCTTAGGAAGCCTTCCCCTTGGAGGAAAACATTTCCCCCCCATCCAGATCCAGAACTAGTTAGGGATATGAAGTCCACAAGGTTGACTTCATTTTAACAAAGAGACAGCATTTACCAACCGCCCAGTTGTAGAACACTGGTTCATTGAATCCTCATAGAACTCTTAGATGGTAGACATGACCCCCATTTTATAGATGGGATTACTGAGGCTCGGTTTGGGCACCTTGTCCAAGGTCGTCTAGCTCACCAGATCTGGAAATTTAGAATGTCCTTTTATGGAGATGCTTTTGTTCCAGCAGTTTCTTTTTACCCGAGGTAATGCATAAAAGCTTTTTTTGTAATCGAGCCTTGGTCACAGGAGGCATTCTTGTTAACTCAGGTAGACCCGATGCCTCCATCCCGTTCAACCCGCAGCGGAGCCCAGGAAGGGGCAGTAAAGAAAGCTAAGAGGCCCAATGGCCTCTCTTAAAATTTCCTCCTGTCTATTTTGATTCCCCCTCTGGGGGTACTTCCAGATACTATCTTTTGCCAAATAGAGAGTTTCTCAGAAGTTGCAAGACGTGGGAGGTTTAAAAAAAAAAAAAAAAAATCGGCAGCATCAACGACAAAAAGGCCAGGCCGGCAGCAGCCTGAACACAGAGTTTGAATTTTGAACAAAGGGCAGGGTGAGACCCTAAAGTAAATGCTGACACATCCTCTCTCCAGCTGTGAACTGGGGGTCTGAGGGCTGCTGCAAAGGTCATCGGTCTCTACATCTTTGGGGCAGGAAATGCAATTCAATCCTCTCAGTGACTGATCGCTCTGCAAGATTAATGGAATCGTCTCCAACACTGGTCTCTGTTCTGACAGGACAAAAAGTGAATCAAACTTCTCCCCTCCCCTCTCTTCTCGCCAAGAAAGGTCAGCTGATTCCCCATTTTAAAAGTTCAAAACTTTCTCTCCAGGAAATTTGTCCCCGGGGTGTTCTTTTGTGGGTGGGCAACTCTACCTGCTGGGGTGAGATCCAAAGGCGACGCTTGAAGGTCTGAGGACCTTTCTAGGCTTTTCATCTGTTCCTACTTCATCTTTCAAAATAAAATTAATGTCGAGGGCAAAAATCATCCCTGAAAGGGTTAACCGCCAGCCCTGCGGTCCGGCCCTCGGGGACTGGCAGCCAATGATAATTTAGCATGATGAAGTAATGCCTGGGTTTTGATTTCCATTGGTTAATACATTTGTCCATCAATCGAAAGATGCAAGTTTTCGGAGTATCTTTGAACTTTTATGACTCTCCTCCTGGAGTTAACCCCTTAATTAACTCACCTGTTATTTTCAAGTTTCCTTCCGGTCCTAGCACGGGAAGATGCAGAACTTTAGACCCGAAGTCTTCCCAAAATGCCCAAAGCCAGACACTCAGGCTATATGTAAGCTGCTCTGACTTTACACAGCACTGGTGAAAAAATTAAAACATTAAAAAAAAAAAAAAAAAGAGGTCTCTAGGAACGCCAATCACTCTAATAGAAAAAGTATGGTCTGTGGGTCCCCAAAATATTTTTTAAATTGCAAACATAATACAAAATATGGCAAAAATCTAGGATTTGGCAAAGCTAGGAGGTGAATAGACAAGTCCTTGGTATATTTCGTATATTTAATTTCGATGCCTTTCTTTATGCTTGAAATACCTGATAAATTTAAAAGGGCAAGTAATGCATGAGATGGTCTGTGTATAACCCCCTCAAAATTTTCTCTCTCCTCAGAAGTGATCAAACATAATGGTTTGCTGGTCCACTGAAATGCTTCTTCCTTCTTCTTCTTCTTTTTTTTTTTTTTTTGACTTAAATGGGATCACAACATGTACATTATTCTGACTTTTTTTCTTAGCCAATCTTGAACTTTTTCTGAATCATGACATTCAGATTTACCTCACCCTTACCTAATATTTTAGAATGATTCAGTTCTACAGATAGTATATGGGAAAATCTCCAAGATCGTATTAAGTGATGAAGGAAAGGACAGTGGGTATATTTGTGTGACATCGTCATAATAGAAAATATACAGATGTGTATAAATGCTAAAACTATTTCTGATAGGATCCCCAAGGGACATTGCTAACAAGTTTTCCAAGGTGTGGGACTGTGAAGTAGTGAAACTGGGTGGTTGGGCAGAGATACAGGAGAGAGACTTAAAGCATTTTTTTTTTTTAAGATTTTTATTTTAAGTCATCTCTACACCGAAAGTGGGGCTCGAACTAATAACCAGGAGATAAGAGTCACGTGCTCTACTGACAGAGCCAGGCAGGAGCCCCAAGACTGGAAGAAATTTTAAAACAATTTTTAAGTCGTGGAATATTTCAGAAGTACAATAGAATTTGTAAAATTCTAAAGTTCATTTTGAAGAATTACATTCAGGTGCCCACCATCTAGATTAAGAGACAGAAAATCACCCACCCCTTCTCTGTTCACATTCCCTGTTCTAGAGTGGAGTCTTTTCTGCACTTTGTGTTAATCATTCTTTTGCTTTTACTTGCGCCTTACTCTTGTGTATATATACCCACACAATATTTAGTGGTTTAGATTTACTTGATTTTGAGACTTATAGTCTTAAAAAGAATGAATAAAATCAAATTCCTGTTTGAGCAGGATAATACAGGTACATAGTATAAAATTCAAAAGGTACTACACCTTAGAAAATGAAATTAAGTCTATAAGGTCCCAAGTCAGGCAACTCTAATGCATACGTGTGTTAAAAATGTCACATTGTACCAAAGAATATGTTCGCTTCTGTTTTCCCAGTCTCTCCCCCCTCCCCCATTTTTTGGTTCTATTTCTTTCCAAAGAAAGCCTGTACATCCAAAAGAATAAATGTAGGTATAAATGTGTCCCCTTTGGTTGATGTAAGTGGTCAGCACAATTCACTATAAGTATTCCGCACCTTGTTCTGTTTTGTGTTATTATTATTATTTTTTTAAGATTTTATTTATTTGGGAAAGAGAGAGAGAGCAAGCATGAGCAGGGGGAGGCGCAGAGGGAGAATCACACTCCCTGCTGGACAGGCAGCCTGACACAGGCTGGATCCCAGGACCTTGAGATCGTGACTGGAAAGGAAGGTAGATGCTTAACCGATTGAGCCACCCAGGTACCCCTGTTCTGTGTTAATGTAAGGATACCATTAAGTCATCCTCATCAGTATATACAGAACTACCTTATTCTTCTTGATGATTTGGTAACATTTCAATGGACAAATGGTCCAAGAATTATTTAATCAGTTCCCCAACTTTGGGATCCTTTTCAGTCTCTTTCTGTTGCAAACAGGGCTACAATGGATTGCATCTTTGTTTTTGTGTCTATCAGCAGGGTATATATCAGGAAGTGGTTACCCATTTCTAAGGCTTCCTGTCCCAACACCGCTTATCTGTCCTTGAAAAGTCTATTAGTCAGATCCGGGCAGGTGGGACAATCTTGTATCTAACCAGTATCCCCACATGCCCACCATGCTAAGCTCTTGGCAGACCCTCAGAGTGAGTGGTTTAAGGAACAGCACTGTGAACATTCACATGGTCCCTTCGAGGAAACCTTTGCAGTCATCCCTGTCCCCTCCCCCCACCCGTCATTCCAATACTTCATTTTCTCAGGGTCCCTTCGTTCATTCCACAAATATTTCCAGAAGGTTGATTATAGAGACACAGTGCCAAATCAGACTCTGAGATGTATCTAGTCTGGTAGGTGAGTTAAGACAAATTCTGGAAAACACCGTAAGGTTACACTGCCCGATAACAGACACCAGCTATGTACAACTATTTAAATTTTAATTAAAATTAAATAAAATTTAACCTTCATTTCCTTAATCTCACTACCCACATTTCAATAGCCACATGCGGCTAGAGGCTGCTGCATTGGACAGCACAGACATAGAATGTTTCCATGACCATGTCCTAAGGGACAGCCCCGAAGGGGGGCATAGTGAGTGGTAAAGCATGTGAGCTCTGGATTCCTGCAAACCCTGGGTGCAGATCCTGTCTCTTATTTTACGGCTGTAAAATTTAGGCAAGTACCTTGACCTCTCTTCGAGCCTCAGCCATAGCAGTGGGGAATTATAGACCCTCCCTCAATAGGGCTTTGGGAAAGATTCAGGACAGTAACAAATGTGAGTGACTTTGCTTCAAAGACATGGTAGGCACTCAGAAATCCGCAGCTCTTGTAATTATGTATGAGGGTGAGAACAGCTTCAGTTTCTAACAGTTTTTAAAATCTTGGGGATTCCTAACTCCCCTGGGAGCCGTCTGTCCAGTCCCTGTCCAGGCTGGAGTATGTCTACAATCAAAACTGGTTCTTCCATATCCCCTGTGTGTTAAAGCACAGAGCTGCTCAATCAACCTTTGATGAATGAAGAAATGAATGAATGGGGCCAACACAGCCAGGGTTTGACTGGGTCTTTTGTAAAAATGAGAAGGAGGGTCCGGGAAGTCATTATTACTAAGTTTCAAATACAACTGGCCTGGTCTTTTTTTTTTTTCCCCCTGCAAGAAATAATACCTCTCTTGAGGAAGCACCTTCATTTCCCCTCCCCTTTCTCACCTACTGCCCACGCCTCTGGGACAATTAGCCAGCACTAGGAGCTCAAGGGTCTTGGCCCATCCCCCTTTGGCCCAAAATAACCTCCTCCCCCACTTGGAGCAAATGCCTGGAATTCTTTCAACAGGGGGACAAAGCCTTTCATCTGCCAATTACTGATAAAGGGAAAATGCAAATATCGCTGGGGAAGGTGATCCATCAAGAGCCCAACATTTACTGAGTGACCACTTAGGACCAGAAGGTAGGGTAGGCATTCTGGGGGAGTCCGAGGGAACACACACCCGGGTTGGTCCATTCTTCTCTCTGGTCTGTAGTTTCCTCAGGGTTTGTAAAGAGAAGGGATTAAATTAGGTGACTATTCAAACCCTTCCCACTCTGACAGGCCAGGAACTCCCCATTGGGGTGATATATGGACTTAACTTTTGGCACTGAGGTGCTTGCCATCGGATCTTTTCCTGACACCAGCGTTTGGGGACACCCTGAGGCCACATGGGGAGAGAAGTGTCTCTGGGAGTAAAGGAGAATTGGGATCAAGCATTCTGTTTTGGTTTTGCCTTATGGCACTTAACTTCCTTTCCCTGACCCGCCGGCTGCAGAGACCCTCCTTTGAACATGTTCATTTCATTATGTGGGAACAAGGAAGGTGGTCAGTATCCATAAAGGCTGTGATGAAAGTCACTTACAAGCTTGTGGCCTTGAACGGCTTTGCCTTTCTGAGACTCGGTTTCCTCATTTGTAACATGAGTCCTATAACAAGACTCTTATTCTTCAAGGGGTCTTCTGTGAGAGAAACTAGTGAGACGGTCCCTGGTTCTTGACAGAGGCTGAGGGCAAAACCTCCTCATTCCCACTAAGCTGAAATAAGTTTTGGTATTTGCCATCTAGAGGACTGGGATTAAAACAAACTTAAAAAAAACCAGTTTTTAGGGGTGGGTGGTAAAGAATATAGAAAGACGGGGCGGGAAAGGAAACTTTAAGGTGTGTGAGGGGGAAGCTGTCTTTTAGGGTGACCAATACAGAGGTGATGGTTCACATCCGATCTCTGATGGGGAAGCCACATCCTCTCCACACATCTGAATGGTGTGTCCACTAGGGAGGATATTGGCTTGGCGCAGAGGAACCACCGAGACCGATCGTGTCTCTGAGCCTCAGTTTCTCTATCTGCAAAATGACTATGAGGCTTAATGGCAGAAATAAAAACATGTTAAGTTTTTTTTTGGCCAAGACTGCTATAAGCATCTATGTTCTTTTAATGGAGCTGTGCCCTGTCCTCATCTCCTGATCGTTATCCCAAAGAGCAGGCCTAGTTGGACTTGGAGGAATGTTTAGGGCCAGCTTTTCTCATAATCAGAGCTGACCTGACTGTTGTTCATAATGGAATTAATTACAGGACAGCCGCTTTTAGGATTCCACTTTTGGGGATGGTCACGGCCAACCAGGTATACTGAGGGAAAGCAAGAGAGAATCATTCCCTCTGCCAAGAATTCCTAAGAACTCATCAATGGGCACCCAAAGGTCCCGGCGCCTCACCCCAGAGCGCCTTGCACCTTTCCACCGACTTTTCTCCTATAAACGGCCAATAAGGGCTTACCCTTCGCCTGCTTGCCAGCTGCGTTAGGAGGCGCCAGATCGGATCTCTCGGTGTTTCACTCCTGAGCATCTATTTCCTTCTCTTGGCGAGCGCAGGGACCTTTAAAAACTGTCCAACTTCTGTTCCAGGGCTCGTCGCCTAGTGAAGGACTCCACAGACGCGGGCAGGATGAATGAATGA